ACAAGTGTTACACCAACAACCTGTGCCCCAAGAAGGTCAAATAAGGCCCCTCCACCGCTTCCTCAGGCCATAGGGCACGGACCTCCTGTCTAAACCTCTTGGCCCTGGGGCCTCAGTGAAGTTTCCCTTTCGTTGCCTGGAGCAGTATGATACATACATACATACATACATACATTCATACATAGCAACCTGTGGCTATCTTAATTAATTGAATAAATGGTATAGTGGATCCACTCCCTCAGCTAAAGAAAAGTTTTGGTTCCCCCTTTTAACATTTTGTCTGTTCCATGCCACATAAAGGGACACTATTTATATTAGAAGGGTGATATAGGACTTTAATGCCATCATCATCATTTTGAGGGGTAAAGGATTTGCATAGAAAAATAAAGGACAGCAAAGACATCAGATGCTACCTTCGGTTAATTAAATTGGAAATACCCAAGTCATCATTTACAACCTCAGCCCAGTCCTCAAGGAGCAGGACAAAATTAGGTGACACAAAGAGCATTTCCAGTAGTGACCCCAGGAAAGAAAAGGAAAAATCAGAGCAAAGTTTGGGGTCAGAATGAAAGTGTCCTACAGTCAGAAACCCCAGATCAATGTGCACTGTGGGTGCTCTGATGCTGGAGTTGTCCATGTTGGTATTCAAAGGGCTTCCCCAGTGGGAATTTTCTGTGAACTCAAATTCCATCTTAAGCTGGAATTCATTGCATTAGTAGGTTTGCTCACCAGCGTGAACGCTCTGATGTACAGAATCTCTGAGCCCCACCTGAAGACTTCACCTGAAGGCATGAAGACCTCCCAGCTCTTTCCTACATTCACTGCAGTCCTGGGATTCCCCCCACTTGGAAGTCAGTGGAGTGGAATGTGGATTATGGTCCTACTGTAACAAGTCCTTCACTGTCCCCACCCACAGCCCAGTTTAGAGAGTGCTGGACATAACCAGTAGATCAAGGGCATAGAAGCATTTTGCTCTGTTCTTGATTAATTTTGGGGGTGATCTGTCCAGGAGCCGTCCCAGACCTCTGCCATTCCAACGCATACCCACCCTTCTTAGCAAAAGGCCTCAAAAGATCAACTCTGCTGGCCCGAGCCCTGTTACCTTCGCATCTCTCTTCTCAGTCCCTCCAGCAGCCTGAGAGACAGTGCCTTTTTCCTTCTTCCTGAAGCCAACCCTGCCTTCCATACCGAGTTTACCCTTTCAAACTGCTACTAAATTAAAATTTTAAAATTAGTTATTAGAAGAGTATCTTAACAGGACTAGTTGGAAGTCTGAAAGAACCTGGGCCCTGCAAGGATTCCCTAAATGTCTGCGGACTGGCTGTGTTCCACCCTGGGGTGTGGACAGTCTTCACAAACTACAAATCACTTCGGGCTGAGACAAAGTCCCGAGTCCTGAACTCAGCGTAGGACTCGGCCGGCATGCTACAGCCCACACTCGCTCGCTCGCTGATGGCAGACAACACACCCGGGGTCCCTGGGGCCTTAACATCCTGCCCTCATTGGTCCCCAGTAAAAGATACCACCAGATGTTAACTAACTGGCGAGCCACCCATCAGCTCCGGGCTCTCAAGGCCCGCCCACAAGGAGGTGGGGGTGGGAGTGGGGCTGCCCGGCTTCCTAGAGTGGCCACAGCAGCAGGGGTCGGTCCCTCCCTGGGTGGGGCTCCTACCTCTCGGGAGCTCATTTGTTGACTCCTTGGCGAGTTGGTGGGCGCTGGCCAAGGTGAGTCCTCGGCCTGCAAAGCGTGTTACAAACAGGTGAAAAAGGAAATGCATTCTCACGGGCGGTCCTGCTGGGGACGGTGGAGTGGCGGCTGAGTCCGCGTGCAAAGCTCCGGGCGTGGGAGGAAGGGCAGGGGTTGGAGAGAGAGCGAGCTTAGGTCTTGCGGCTCCGCTAGTAGAGGGGCTTCATCTGACCCTTTGTTCGCCGCGCCCAAGCCCTCAAGCTGCTTCCCGCCTTCCTTTCTGTGCAGCCTTCCCGGCTCTGAGAGCGCGGGGAGAGGCGGGCGCCCACGATCCCCTGCTTGATGGGAAAACCGAAGCCTTCTCCCTCTGACTGCCACTAGACTGCTCCTCTCCACCAGCCTCCTAGCGCTTCGCCCCGAGCCCAGAACCGGTCCTGTCTTGTAGCAGTTGCTCAGCCAGTGGTTGATGCATGTGCACCCACCCCCGTTACCGAGGCTCCCTTTCTCATGTTATTACCAAAATCGTCCTGGCCCCTGTCCACTGGTTTTTACTGAGGCTCCAGCTCACGTCCCTTTTCTGGGATTCACCCAAGCAGGTCATTTTTATTCCAAAAGCTGAGGGATGTGGTGAGGGACAGGTTATTGCGGATTACTTGGTAATATCTTGTTAAGGTAAAACTTTGCTTTTAGGAACTTGTGAAGGACTACAGGGGTTCAAGAATGGGTTTCAGATGCTCCATGAATTCCCTGAAAACACATGCACATTTTAATAGGCAGTTTCCCTGAATTTCAAAGATCCCTGACCTAACAACTTTGGGGGCCTGCCTTAGATCAGGAGTCACTTTAGAATACTTTTTAAAAAAGAGGATCTTAGCCAGCAACAACAGTAATAAACACCAGCCCAGAAATCTCAGCAATAAAGTAATTTTTAAAAAAACTGGCCCCTCCACCCGACTGGTGTGGTTTCGTGGTTGAGGGTGAACCCATGCACCAAGAGGTTACCAGTTCAGTTCCCCGTCAGGGCACATGCCCAGGTTGTGGGCCTGATCCCCAGAGGGGGGCATGCAAGGAGGTGGCCAATCCATGTTCTCTCTCATTGATGTTTCTGTCTCTCCCTCTGCCTTCCTCTCTCTAAAATCAATAAAGAAAAAAAAATTAACCACTGGACCCTCCAAATGATCAGACTATCTTACATTAAATTGTTAATCGTGAAAAACTACACAAACACACACAAATAGGTGGCACTTATCCCGTTATGAAAGTAAAGGATCTCACCAAGCAGAGCAGATCAAGGACAGAGTGCACAGCTTATGCAAAACCAGACGCTAACAGAGTACAGCAGCTTGCGGTACTAAGGTAAGGGTGACACAGGACAGGGACTGCTTTACAAAATCATAGCAAAACCATAATGAGAAAACGTATTTCAGAACGATAAACATAAATGTATCAAATCAGTAAAGTTGTGAAGAAATAATTTACTTATCCAAAGTTAGCATACCAGTAAAACTGGAATTAGAGGATGAAAACATACATGAACCTAGCTGTGAAAAATTCTGAAGGTTATTTCTGGGTGTTTATGCAGGTCTTTGAGATTTTTGAGACCTGGTTTTTTAAATCATCTAAAATTAAGAAAATTCATGTTTTTTCTCTTCCTTTATAGAATTCTACTTGCACAGGATATGACTACCAGTCAAAATTATGGTCAGATTTTGACTCCCAAGTAAATTGAGAGGGAGGAAGGCAAACAGAGAGAACTCTTCCCCAGGTAACTGGATGGGGTGGTCTAGGGCAGGGAATGAGGTTACAGGATGTGTATATATAACAAGGTGGGAATAATTTAATCACCAGGATTCCTCTTGTTGAAAGATTTTTCTTGAAATGTGAGACCTCCCCCAACCCCTTATGAATATGCTCACATACAACACAGTTGGTCACCAAAATACCTTCTAATGAATGTCCCAATGAGTGGATTACTAACTGAAGCACATTTTCTTTTGCTGAGCAGTGGGTTTAAGAAGGTAACTGAGCTGGGGGCAGGGATTGAATATCTGACACACACACAAAAGGAGCTGAGGTGACAGAGCCCTGAGACAGAGGACAAAGAGAAAACACTTCAGTGGCAGTTTGGTCAAGGACTTCTGAGAACAAAATGTCGATAGGATGTGACCCCACTTCTCCACCTCTTGCACAACCGCATCTTCAGGGAAGTCCATATTACTCATGGATGTGTTTGTGTGAGGGGGTTCTTTAGGGGGAGCTTGAAGAGGTGCTGGGATCTAAATCAAAGGCTAGTAAGGGGTGAATGTGGGAACAAAATATGCGAACACAGAAATCAGAAGTTAAAGGGATAGGTGACACGCAGGTTTCATGTGAGAAAGGTATGGTCTGAGTATAATTCAATCTGAGCTTGAGATTACATTGCACTTGTAATTACCCTACAGGAACAGAAATGTCAAAGAACTTCTTGGCCCTGGTGGGTGTGGCTCAGTTGGCTGAGTGTCATCCTATGCACCGAAAGGTCGCCAGCTTGATTCCCAGTCAGGGCACGTGCCCAGGTTGTGGGTTTGATCCCCAGTTGTGTTGTGTAAGGGAGACAGCTAATCGATGTTTCTCTCTCTCTCCCTTCTCACTTAAAAAAAAAACAAAAAAAAAAACAATAAAAACATTTAAAAATTTTTTTTAAAAAGCTTGACTGCTAGAGGCAGAAGTACCTGAAAGGATGTGGAAACTGTGTAATCAACTGTTTATTTGTCCAGCCCTTTTCTCAAGCCAAGGGTATAACCTGGGAGATCATATATCAGGGTACAAAATAAACCCACTTGGTGGGTTTTGGCTGTGACCAGTTATTTCCCCAAGCACGTGATGTCAGTCCATTATATTCAAGTCCATATAGCAATTCATAATATAAATGTGCAAATGATTTCAAATAAGGCAGTAATGAATCCACCTAGCCATAGCACAGCATAGTGGTTAGGTGCACAGACCAGCGTTGGAGTTTTGGCTCTTACAAGGTATGTGATCATTGGTAAGTTACTTCAACATCCCTCCTGCCCTTCCTCATCTTTTAAGTTGGGGTAGGAGTACCCATATCATTGATGGTTATGCAATTGTAAATCAACTAAAAAGCATTCAACTCAACACTTAAAACAGGTGAATTTTATGGTATATAAAGTATACTCAACAAAGCTGTTTTTTTTTAAAAGAAAAAGGGTACCTAGATCATAGAAATGCTGTGAAAATAAAAGTGTCAACTGTCTGGCATTGTGCCTGATGCACAATAAACACTCAGTAAATACTAGTGATTAGTATTAGTATACTAAAGAAAAGATTAAAGAATAGAATTTTGAAGATATATAAAGTTAGATTTTAAAAAGAATCAAAGAACTATTGGGTTGGTTGAAACTCCAGACATCATTTAGTTCGACTCCCCTCCTTTTACAGTTGAGAAAAGTAGGGCCCAGCAGGTGAAGTGCCTTATTCAAGGTCTGGCTCTAAAACCAGACCCTAAGCCTGCTGGGTTCCCATTAGTGCAATTCCCACTCCCACCCACTGCAACAGAAAACCGGACACATGAAAAATTGAGGATGTGTTTCCCCAAAGAAGAAAAAAACATAGGAGAACACAGAACACTCATGTAGAGATGTTAAAAAGGCCCAAGGGCAAACTGAGAAGAGGCCATCACATCACTGCCTATCTGTCCAGGGGGGTCCAGGTCATGAGAGCATTAAGTGCTTTGGCAAGGAGGCCCTGGTCAGTCAGGTGAACCGGTTCATCACTGTGGCCAGATGCCTGGTGATGGTGACGCTGTACAGTCCTGCTACTTCCTGACACAGGATCTGTCAGCAGCAGCAGGAGCTGGGGTCAAAGTGAACGCAGTAGAATTCCTGGGAGCAAGCAGTTAGTCTGAGCAGCCCGAAGGGAGACATAGCTGCTGAACAGCTGCCGTGCCCGTGCTGAGTAGTCTGGCCTCACTTTTATCATCCCCTGGCCTTGCTCATCAGCCCCTAGATTCTAAGGGCCTTTTGCTGATGATTCTGTAAATTGCCCATCAGTTTCCTCCATCATGGCACCCTCTTCTAGCAGGAGATATGAAATGACCCAATGATTTCCACTCCTTTAGTGCTGCCATCTTCTAAAGGAACTTGATAGCATGTTTGCAAGGTTTTGAAGCTAATTAGAGCTTAGTAAATTATGCCAATGGTAAATGTTGGACAAGAGAACAAAGTGTGTCTTCTAGGCCACAACTTTCCAACATTTGAGGGGATAACATTCAATGAGTCGAGTCCCGTTCTTAGGAAGTAGTGGAATCACATTCCTCCAGTTTTCCTGAAGAATAACAATTTAGGCTAGACGGCTGGTATGTAGACCCCTAATAGCATGTGACCCCCTAGGGGAGGAAAGGGGAAGGAAAGGAAAAAGGGACAGAGGAGAATTAAGGCCTGAAACAGCTTTTATGATTTAACTCTGTACACTGAAACTTCTCAATGAATAATTCATAAAAGTGCCTCATTCTATTTGACCATCTATTTAAATAAAAATCAGTAGAAGGACAGAGGAGGTTCTGTCCATTCACTTGATCTGAGAACTTGGGGTGTACACTATGAATAAGTCTGACTTCGGCTTTTCCACAGAAAGCTTTCCTACTTTGCAAATCATTCCATACAATGAACACTTTGATGTCGGAGGAGGTGAGAGCTCCGACTGAAAGTCTTCTGACACTCTTGGCACTCGTAAGGCTTCTCTCCAGTGTGAATCCTCTGATGTATGATAAGTTGAGAATGCTGGCTGAAGGTTTTCTCACACTCATTACACTCATAAGGTTTCTCGCCAACGTGAATTTTCTGGTGGAGAAGCAGCTCAGAGTTATCCCAGAAGGTTCTTGCACATTCATTACACTGATGAGGTTTCTCTCCAGTATGAATTCTCTGGTGGACGATGAGATGGGAGGTCCGCCTAAAAGCCTTTCCACACTCAAAGCATTCATAGGGCTTCTCTCCAGTGTGAATTCTCTCATGTCTAAGAAGTTCTGAGTTCCCCCTAAAGGCCTTCCCACATTCCTTACATACATAGGGCTTCTCACCAGTATGAATTCTAATATGTCTAATAATCTCTGAGTTCTGGCCAAAAGTTTTTCCACATTCATTACATTCATATGGTTTGTCCCCTGTATGAATTCTTTGATGCCGGATCAGTTCAGAACTCTGACCAAAGCCTTTCCCACATTCATTACACAGATAGGGTTTTTCTCCAGTATGAATTTTCTGGTGTCTAATAAGGCCTGAGCTATGCTTGAAGGCTTTGCCACACTCATTGCATTCATGATATCTTTCCTCAGTGTGAATTCTCTGATGCTGAATAAGCTGTGAGCTGACCCTAAAGGTCTTCCCACATTCATTACATTCATATGGTTTCTCTCCAGTATGGATTCTCTGATGTAGAATAAGCGCTGAATTCTGACTGAAGGCTTTACCACATTCTTCACATTTATAAGGTCTCTCTCCCGTATGAATTCTATGATGGTGGATGAGATGTGAACTCTGAATGAAGGCCTTTCCACATTCATTACAAGCGAAGGGCTTTTCTCCAGCATGGATTCTCAGGTGCCTGCGAAGGCTTGAGTTAGTTCCAAATGTTTTTCCACATTCTTTGCATTCAAAGGGTTTCTCTCCACTATGAACTCTCATGTGCTGGATAAGATGTGAATTCTGATTAAAGGCTTTCCCACATTCTTTGCATGTATGAGGCTTTTCTCCCACAGAACTTCTCTGTGGTTTGTTAGGCTCTAAATTCTCTATGAAGTTTTGGCCAGAGGTAGCAAACGTACTAACTGCTTCTGCTGTAATATCTCCCTGACGTGTCATCAGGTTTGGGCTGGGACTGCAGACTCTCTCGGTCTCATTCTCCTGGTCTTTCTCACTTGAAGGTGATTTCTTAAAGATAATCAACCCTGATTCAAAGTCTCTCTCCTGAGGAGGCATCTGTTCCATAATCTCTTCTGTGGACCCTCTCGAATGGCCCGCCAACAAGTCTTCTTCGCGTGCCGCTCCAAACTCATGATGCTCGTAAACTACCTTTGGAAGTTTTTCTAAGATTGCCCCTTGTGGCTCAGATTCTTCAGAAATTTCTTCCTTGGGAATTATCTCCTTGTTCTCAGTCCCCATCTCACAATCTGGAATGAGAGAGAGTAAGCGTGTGAAGTGGCTATACCATATCTAAATGAAGCTGATGCTAGAAGAGTATGGAGCTTTGACCTGGCTCTGACAGCACTCAAAATCAGTCTTGGTATCTGGTGAAATTATAGGCTGCTGGTGAAGAGAAGAAAGATATTTAGAATTATGGTAGACATGCTAAACAAACAGCACAAACTGACGGGAAACAGTGAGAGAAATTATCAGAGGCAGAGAGTTAAAGCGAGAAACAGGAAATGGATGGTAAGGAGATGCTGATAAAAATTCCATAATATTAACAGCGAGTTGGGGCAGACCCTGAGGCTTGGTAAGAAAAACAGGAAAAATGGTGGCCATATTAATACATGGTACATGGAAAAGGTTGGATGAAAGGGCAAAAAAATGACTAATACAAACAACTTTTGGATTTATAGAAAAAGTAAACCAGCCCTGGCCAGTTTGGCTCAGTGGTTGAGCATCGGCCTGCGGACCAGAGAGTCCCGGGTTCGGTTCCTGCTAGGGGCATGTACCACAAAAAAAAAAAAAAAAAAAAAGTAAACCAGAAAATGAATAGCAAAAGGAACTTTCCCAAGCCCAGTCCTGCGGTACTCACCAGCTCTAAGAACAGGGGATTGTATATGTACCCATTCAAAAGATTAACATGACTTAGCTGTAACCAGCACAGAAATAACTACCCTTGGCTCCCTTATATTTGGAGGAAGAAAGGTTCTAGCTTAATTTTCTCCAGATGGTTAGTAAATGCATAAATAACTACTCTTCTTTTCCCTACTGATTTGAGATGCCACCTATGTCATAGTTTAAAGGACTATATTTGTGTGGGTTAATTTCTGGGTCAATTTCCAGACTCTATTCAGTCCTATTAATCTTTCTATTCCCTCTCTAATCCCAAATTGATCAACCTATTATAGCTTTGTTAAAAGTTTTAATGTTAGAGAAAGTTCTCTGTCATTAGTCTTCTTTTTCACATATTTCCTATTTTCATATTTTTCTATGTAAATTTTAATATATTTTTGTAAAATCTTCTAACTTATCCTGATGTGTTGTATCCATGTCTCTGTATGAGTTTTCTTTTAGTACGTTTTTCCGTATATTTTCTAACTGGTTATTATTTTCATATATAGCAATGCTGTTGATTTTTAGATACTTAGTTTATAACTGGCCCCTTTATAAAATTTTCTTAGTATTTTTACAGATCTAAAGCCTATGCTTTTTTAAACTTTAAAAGGCTGTGGCAAAGATTTTAGTTGTCTATCACAATATCCATTCTTCCCTATCTCATTAACAACAGAATAATGAATTCATTTAATATAGTAATTGGCCTAGCTATAGAAATAAATTCTCAGCTCTCTCTCTCTCTCTCCTTCTTTCCCCCTCCCCCAAGAAAATGCCTGCTCAAATCTTCTTTTCGAGTGTACTTTACTAAGCTCCAGCGGCCCTTCTTTTGCCTCTGTAACTTGTTTCCTTAGCCTATTTCTTCTGTGGCTCACTTTTACTACCTCTGTAGCTCTCTAAATAAACTTTCTCTTATAATTTGTGGAGGGGGAGTTTCAAACTTCTTGGTATTTAGGTATTGCCATGTGGCCAACTTCTGGCCAGCAAGAGAGTGAGACACAAATGAAAGGGCATAAGAAGTCTCCTTCAGAGTGAGAGGATGCATTTCGTCACCCTCTTCTTCCATGCTGTGCCTGGGGCACGAGCTGACAGTTGGAGTGCCATCTTGAACCTTGAGTACACTGACATACCCTATGACAGGACCAGAGCTGGAAGGAACCTGGGTCCCTGATGACTCTATGGAGCTGCCACAGCAGCCCTGGAATGCCTACCACTGGGCTTCTTTCATTTAAGAAAAAACAAGTTTTGCCTTGCTTGAACCATTACAGTTTTGTTTTGTTTTGTTTTTTAATGATCCCAAACCCACTCTAACTGGCACAATGGCCATAGGATTTTAGCTGTCCCAGTCACAGAAGTAAAGTCCAAATGATGTGAGAATAAGCCTGGCTTCTGTTCAGGCAGTAAGCAACCTGGAGCTAATACTGAAGAGGCCCTTTGCCTAGGCCAGTGCATTTTTTGTGCCACAGCAAATCTGAGAAATTCCTCCCATCAGTAAAAGTGTTAACTGTGGAAGGTGATTCTCAAGGGGGGGAATGGGCAGCTATGGCACTTTTTTTTTTTTTTTTGTCCTCACCCAAGGACATTCCATTTTTTGTTCAGATAGAGTGGGAGGGAGAGAGAGAGAGAGAAACATTGATGTGAAAGGGACACATCGAGTGGCTGCCACCTACACGACCAATCAGGGCTGGGGACAAACTGCAACCGAGGTACATGCCCTTAGCAGGAACCGAACCCGGGTCTCTCTGGACCACAGGCTGATGCTCTAACCACTGAGCCAAACCTGCTAGGGCGGGACTTTATTCTTTAGAAAATGCAGTTATGGATGATTTTTAAGCCAAGGATTGACAGAGTCCATTGTCAGACTAGCATTAGGCAGATGCACACTAGTGGCCATGTAATGGCTGAACTAGTAAGCAGTATGCCTAGACATAAGGAGATCAGTTAGAAGGTTGATGCAGTCATCAAAGTAAAGGGTGATTAAATCTAACTACGGCACTAGTAGAGGTGAAAGAAGAGGACACATAGAGGAGAAATACCTAAGAGGACACATTCTGTAGGATTTGGTATGTGACTGGATATAGGTATAAAGAATAGGGAACAGTCAAACATGATGCCAGATCTCCCTTTGTTTGAGGAATGGTAATTAGATGAATAGTGGTACCACCAAGGCTGGGAATACTGGGGGAGCAGCTAGTTCAGAAAGGAGGATGAGCTCTGTTTTGGACTAATTGAATTTCAAAGTATCTAAATAGAGGTTTCAAGAAATCAGTCAAAATATGTTAATCTAAAGTTCAGAGCAGTCAGGACTAGAGATACAGACTTGAGTACTCAGCATAGATGGTATGAGTATAGTGAGAACTATCAGTTATCTTCCATATTCCCCTCCAGATCTTTCTGCCTTTCTCCACCCTACTCTGCCCCAGAAGGCTAACCTACACAGCACATATCAACAGGCCCTCTGGATTCTACCTGTGTTCCACCAATGGGGAGGCTCAGCAGGAGGCTGGAAGTAGAGAGGAAAGTGAGGTCAGGGTATTTATTCTCCTGGTTCCTATATCACCTTGGGCTGATGGTCTCCCTTAACTGAAGGTCATTAGTACTCTCAAGGAGTCTATCCTACCCAAACGTCTCAACAACTGGGTTTTCCAGTAACCTTTCCTACTTCTTGTCTCTTATGACCTGGGGCTGATGATCACTCCATGGTTGCCTCAACACCGTGCCCACACATGTGTCATTTATAATTAACCTCTTAGCAAATATTTGAGTGAAGTAACTGTTTCCCGTTAGGACCCTAGTGTTAAAGGGATGGGTGAAGGAAGAGAAGCCTGCCAAGAAGAAAAAAAAGGTTAGTGAAGTAGGAGAAGAACCAGAATAGAAGTCATCAGGGCAATGGCAAAAGGAACTAAAAAGTGTCCCATGTAGTTGAGAGATCCGGTAGAATAAGAACTGGAAAACATCTACTAGGACAATTAAATAGTCATAAATGACCTGTAAGAACAGATTCAGTAGAATGACAGAAGCAGAAGCCAATGATGGTGGACTGATTAGTAAATTTGCTGCTTCTTTCAAAAAACTTGGATGAAAGGGGAGGACCAAAATGGGCAGTAACATTAGAGGTTAAAGAAGTGTCAAAGAAGGATTTTTGATGACGGGAAAGATTTGAACACGTTTATATTAGGAGAGATGGTGCCAGTCGAGAGACAGGGGTTAAAAGGGAAAAGATGAGATTACTAAAGAAGTGAACACCCTGAGAGGCAGGAGAGGCTGGGGTCAAGTGGTGAGGGACGGGGAGAGTGGTGATTTTCGGATGACCTTTGTACTACCCCTTTTCTCTGCCCAGCCTCCCTGTCATCCACATAATGGTAGTTATTATCACTGTCCTACCCTGGGGCTTCTTCATCACTCATCCATGGAGCTCTGGTAACCCTCGCCCCCCCTGCAATGCTCCACCTCCAATACCTGTTAGGAACTTGACTCCTACTGGAATCCTAAAGCCTTGGAAACAATTTGTGCTACCCCTCGAAATGACCTGGAACCTTCTTCAACTTTCCCTGCCTCGGCATCTTCTTCCATTTTCCCATGGAGTAAGGGTGGGCACCCAAAAGCTGGATTCCTCCTTTTTGGTAAAAGTTTTGAAAATTATAGATATGTATCCATATAGTTGTAAGGATCCACTGCAGAGAATTTTGCTATCTTCCTCATCCATGGTACCATTTGAATTGGGAAGTACTCTCTTAAATAAATGTCCCTCTAATACTCAGCCAAGAACAGGTCCCCATCTACTTCTAGCCCTCTCTCTGGCCTTTCCTTTTCACCCTCATCTCTCCTATGGTTACTTCTTTCCATCAACTAGCTCTTTACAAAGTCATCATTCAGAGAACACACATGCGTACCACACCATATGGAAAATCACTTGTCCACAGTTAAGTCAAGGTAAAGATATGAAAGCTAGGTAGGTACCTATCCCAAGCTTCAAGATCTAATTCAAAACTCAAATCCAGAAAGTTTTCTCCAACTAAACTTGACCCCGTCTGACCACTCTTTTGCTTTGCATTCTATCAGTGACACAATATTATTGTAATTTGTTAAATACTGTACAGGTATCTTCTCATATACAAAGCAAAGCCAATCTCCATTTGGTTGATTTTCCCAGAAGCACAGCCACACATTAAACCTCATTCTCGTATGGAAACATTAGACTATTCAGCCTAAATTTACATTTCCAAAGGTAATGTCATATCTTCATGTTTCTCACTTCTTCATTTCTCTGAATCAAAATTCACTGTTTCTGGAGAGAGATTAAGATAGAGGTGTCGCCCTGGCCTGTGTGGTTCAGTAGTTAGAGCACCGGCCTGTGCACCAAAGGGTCATGGGTTCGATTTCCAGTCAAGGGCATATGCACATGCAGGCATGTACCTGGAGCACATGCAGGAGGCAACCAATAGATGTGTCTCTCTCACATCGATGTTTCTCTCTCTCTTCCTCTCCCTCCCTCAACCCCCTCCACTCTCTCTAAAAATCAATGGAAAAACATACTCGAGTGAGGATTAACAACAACAACAAAAACAAGGTGGAGGTGCCACCTAAGAAGGAGGTGCCACTGTTGGTCCTCAGTCTCAGGGATGACAAGCAGACCTCCACCAGATCTCCACAGTTCAGAACAGGGTCTTCAACTCTGTTTTTTGTTTTTTTCATGAACCCTAGATATGTTTTTTTGATGAACCCTAGAACAGGCTCAGAAAGCCTCATTCACAAAATACTGATGCATAAACCAGATACCCATCTATTAATTAACAATGAGAAATAAAACTCTGAAGGACCACACTGCCTAGATGAAAATCTACAATGGGAAGCCACATGAAACACTGAAAATTGTTTAGTAGGCTTGCAATCACAGCAAGATTTTATTTTTAATGAATGGTTCTTAAATAATGATTCTGGCCTAGAACTAGGCTAAATGCCCAAGAATCCACTGGGAAATCAGTTAAAAATACAAATTCCCCACCTCAGAACTCTCAGAATCAGAATCCCCAGGGGAGGCCAAGGGATCTGTATTTTTAACAAGTGCCCTAGCCAATTCTGATGCCCCACCAGGTTTGTAAGTCACTGTGTTAGACAGTATCCATCTGGTGCATCCATCTCTACCTGAGGTCTGGTCTATCAAGTAGCTAAACACATGTGCAAAGCAGCAGTATTATAAATACACTGTCAGTTCTTGTTCTGATTTTTTTGCCTACCCTCCATATTGACTGTCCCTACCCTTCCCTAAACTTCTGAGAGCAGACAGGGAAAATATAATACAATTCACTAAATTCCCTTTCCTGAGTTAAAAAAATCACATTCTTGCCCTGCCAGATGGCCCAGTGGTTGGAGCGTCGGCTCGCAAACCAAAGAGTCATAGGTTTGATTACCAGTCAAGGTACATACCTGGGTTGCAGGTTTAGTCCCCAGCCCATGCAGGAAGTAACCAATCAATGTGTCTATCACATCCTTCTCTCTCTCTCTCTTCCTCCCTCCCTCCCACAGTCTCTGAAAATCAATGGAAAAAATATCCTCGGCTGAGAATCAACAACAAAAATCACATTCTTGTTATGTTCATCAGACTGATCCTAGATACTGTGACTAGACCTGAGTTTGCCCCAACTACCTAAGTCAGAGTTTACAACAATCTCTTGTGATAGCAATATCACTCAATCCTTTGAACTTACCTGCCAAAAAGCATATTGTAATTTGCAGTAAAAAATAAATAAATTAAATAATCTATCAGTCCACAGTCTGATTTGTTCTTTTAGAAAGTTTGTTGAAAGCAAAGATTGGGACTTAAATTACAAAAGGTCAGGAATCATTTTCTTCCTCAACAAACTCTCCCTTTCTGTGGTACTCCAGAGGGTTTTCTACCCAAGGAATACCCCATAGTAATATTAAGGAAGGCATGGGTGAGAGGTATGTCTTGCTTTTGTAGAGGAGGAAAAGCTACAGACCACAGGCCCATTCTCAAGTAGATCGGCGGTAAGCAAGGATAAATACTGAAGTCAAGGATCTAGAGACTGATTCCCATTCAACAATCCATGTGCCCACAGATGTTACAGAACGGGTTTGTGTACCCACTCCACGTACTTCAGTTTGAGCAAAGACTACTGCACAACCGCATTCTAGGCAGACAATGGGGTAAGCAAAGCTTCAGAGGCCAGGAAGTTCAGGAGACACAAAGGGACAGAAAGAACATTCTAACCTCAGTGTAGTATCTGCAGATAAGGAAGAAGTGAGGATGCACTGACATTTTGATGTAGGGAGTGATGAGAGCTTACTATGTACTGTGTGCTAAGCAATTTATTGTACACAATAGCTTGTTAAACCCTCACAACCTCCTTATGAGACAAGTATGCTGGAGAGCATCAGTGAGGAGGAGCCAATCAGAATGCCTTCCTGTCTTTCTCCAGCAACACTTTTGACAGGCCCAGAGCAGGCTGGGAATCTGGGTATATGCATGGAAGAAAGAGGGAGTGAGGGACCTGAGCATGTTAGCCAGGACAAAGCTGAGGTGACTGAGACAGGAAGGCAAATGAAGAGGGGGGAAGGAGGGAAAAGTAGGATGCTAAAAGATGGAGGTTACAGAGAAGGTGAAGAATGTGGTGAGCACCAGGAACCAAGGGCAGGTACCCAGAAAGCTGGCATGAGGTTTCATTTTGAATGTCAAAATTTATAATATACCAAAAATAATACCCTTTGCCACTATTCAAATTTATGACCAAAAAAGGATTAAACGTCTTGGATGTCAACTTACATATATGGAAGAGGATACAAAGCCTTTCAAATTATTTTACGGGGTATTTGAGGAAAAAGTTTGCTCTCAGAGCTCCAGGAGTGAACCCCAACTGAATTAACCCAGTCAAATTCATACCACCCCCTTTGCAAGTGACTGTTCACAACAGTAGGGACTGGTTCAGAATTGGAGATGTGCCTTCATCTGGCTCAATGATATTCTGAGGAGGTCTGCTGGGAACTTCTGGGAACAGTTCCCTGCCTTCCTGCAAGAAGTCACAGGAAGAGACTTCTATAGATTGTTGCCTGGAACTGCTGCTGCCGTTTCACTCCCAAGTTGTGGATGAAGGCAGGCAGAGATGAGAAAATTGAGGGGAAATGGAACCAGGGCCAAGAGCTTAAGTCAGTCCTGAAATCACTTCATCTGTTATCATCCAATTACGAGAGGAAATAGCTTGCATTAAAGCAGCTTACATACAGAAAAAAACATTTACTCTTGATACAAATATTTTTCCTTAAACTTCTGAAAGGCCAGATACTCAATATCTAGTAGAAGAATCACCTCCTTGCCCTGGCCAGTTTGGCTCAGCAGTTAGAGTGTTGGCCTGTGGACCAGAGACTCCCGGGTTTGGTTTCTGCTAAGGGCACGGATCTTGGATACAGTTTGTCCGGGCCTCAATTGGGGCCATGTGGGTGACAACCAGTCTATGTGTCTCTCTCACATCAATGTTTCTCTCTCTCTCTTCCCCCTCTCTCCTTCCCACTCTGTCTGAAGATAAATGCAAAAATGTCCTCGCGTGAGGATTAAAAAAAAAGAATCACCTCCTCCCCAAAGTCTTCATTAACACCTGCAGGAAGGAGGTTCTCTCTTGGCCCTCTCAACGAGCATTTCACTCACCTCTTTCGTTGTGCTATAGTTATCATGTTGCTTCCTATTCATTGCTTCCCAAGACCTAGAGAATAAAAACTTAACATGGCTCACCCTGGCTGATGTGGTGGCTCAGTTGTTTAGGCCCAGTCAGGTCTGGTGCACCAAAAGGTTGCCAGTTCCATCCCCAGATCCCCAGTAGGGAAGTACAGGAGGCCGGCTATTGATGTTCTACTCTCACATGGACATCTCTCTCTCTCTCTCTCTCTCTCTCTCTCTCCTCCCCCTCCCTCCCTCCCTCCCTCCACCTTCCTCTCTCTCTAAAAATCAATTTTAAAAAAGAAAATAAAAACATGGCTCAAAATGCCCTTTTGATCAGACCCGTTTCCCTTCCCATCTCCTGTTCCACACTCTCTAGTGACTGTTGAAAGCCGGAGTTGTGCTCAGGGTCCTGCAGTGCAAACACTTCCTGTTCTTAAAAACTTCTTTGCCTTTGCAAACAGGTTATTCCTGCTGCCTGCCACCTTATACACTTAAACATCTACAGGACTCAGCTCAAACACAGACAGTCCCTTCTGTTTTCTTTCCTGTCCCTTCCCCTAAGACTCCTTAATCTTGTAGTAGTTACCTGTTATATTAGTCTATTTTCATGTCTGCTTTCCTCATTATGATGTGAGCAGGGATGATGTTCTATTCATCTTGGTATTCCCAGTGCCTAACACATTTCAGGTACCTGGCAAATATCTGTTAAATGAATCTGTCTTATCTACATAATGAATTTGTAATACCCTTGAGGACTAACTGGATGTTTCATTAATTTTGTATCTAAAGAGCCTAGAATGATGTCTGACACATAGCTGATGACAATAACTATTTGTAAAAATAAGTCCCTTTTCTCAATCCGGATGATATTTAATTTAAAGCACTATTATTCTTTTCGCTGTCCTCCCTCTGGTTCCCCCAATCAAGAAGATTCTATTACCTGTCTCCTTTCTAAAACTAACCCTCATAAGCCAATATCCTGTCTGCTGGGACCAGTCACACTATGCCACGGGGCCTTCACTTTTGGACACTGCCCGGCCATTTCGGCCCGACAGTTTACTTGGGGATGGGATGTCAGAAACCCAGCTCCCATTGGCTCCCACCTCGGGACCCTGGAAGGGAGTGCCCTGCCTCTTCCGCCCCCCGCGGCTGACAGGCACCGAACCACACTGGGATGGACCCTGGCAGCGTCCTGGCCCCACGCGCCCAGTGTGCAGGTGGGACACGGAGGCCGGGCTGACCGTGCCGTCCAAGGTCACACAGCGAACCCGGGTCAGGAACGGGCCTAAACATCGGGAGTCGGCTGGCGCGCGGGCCGGGAAGTCGGAGCCTAGCGCCCTTCTCCCTCCCGCCGGGACGGAATGAGGTCTCACCGCAGGCCGCCGCCGCCGCCCCACGCTCGCTGGGCTCGGGCTCCGGGGGCCGCTCCGCCCGCTCGCGCAGAACCCGCAGCTGTTGTCTTGGTTTCACGGGCGATGGGCATCGGCGACTTCCGGTACCCGGGCGGCACTCCTGCCAATCAGCGCGCTGCACTCCCTGGAGGAACAGGTGGTTCGCACGCCGGCGCCTCCTCCCCTTCTCCAGCCGAGCGTCAGGCGGCTTCGCCGTAACCTGAACGCCTTCTCGCCGCCGCTGCCAAGGCTGCGCCCTGGAGTGGCCCTGGGGACCGCCGATGCCCACTCCAGCCCCGGGATCGCTAACGAGCTGGGTCCTCCGGGTTTCCTAGAACGGCTCCAGGGATGCACTTCCGCCCTGGGACCGCCGCTCTGCGCGCTGGTGCCGCTCCGCGAGCATGGACCTGGGCTTGGGAGACTGGAAGCAGGCTTCGCTGCTGCTTCGCGAGGCCGAGATTGCGGGAGCGCCTGAACACCACCGCCCTGCATCCCTTACCCCGCCACGACCTTCCCTGAGCTCCATGAGTCTGGCAAACACAGACCTCTAGATCCAGGAAGGAGCTGGGGATGAAGGGAGACCTGCTCTGAGGTCCTGGGAGGCTTACTGGAGACAGGGAGTCAAGTCTGGGCTGTAATCGGAAGGGTGATGGGAAATGACCCAGGTTAGGAGTGAGGGGAGAGCTGTTCAGACGATGGGCACAGCATTCTCCGCTAGCCTTTTTACCTCTTGAACAAGCGCCGCCCGACTGGCCTTCAGACCGTTTGTACTTGTTACTTTCTCTGCCCTTCTTTGCACAACAAGATTCTTGTTATTCAGGTCTCAAAGGTAACTAGTTGGAGAAGCCTTCCATCCTATCTAATATTACCTCAAACCACACTACCCCTCCCAAATATCATTGATAGGGAAGGACTATGATTGGCCCTTTTGGGGTCTGGTGCTCACCCCTGGACTAATCACTATATTCAGGGGAAAGGGATAGTGAGATTAGCCAAATCTGGGTTACCTCCTATCCTACTTGTGAGGGCGGGCTTCTGTGTTTGCCTCACCATAACAAGGAAGGGAGTGACTATTCTCAGATATTGTGTGTGTGTCTGTGTGTATCCAGTACACACCCTAGCAGAAAAGAACATTTTCTCTTGAGTTCATCATTGTGATTAGGCCTTAGACTCTAAGGTCCATCACTTTATATTTTTTTTAACTTTTTTTTTCTTTTTATTGATGTTAGAGAGAGGGAGAGAACAATTGAAACATCCATGAGAGAGAACACTGATTGGCCACCTCCTGCATACCCCCCACTGGGATTGGGCCCACAACCTGGGCATGTGCCTTGACTGGGAATCGAACCAGAGACCTCTTGGTGCATGGGTCGGTACTCAGCCAGTGAGCCACACTGGCCAGGCTAAGGTCTGTCACTTTATCTGCTTTCACACCAATATCCTTAACTTTTTTTTTTATCCTTCACCCGAAGACATTTTTGCATTTATCTTCAGCTAGAGCTGGAAGGAGAGAGAGAGAGAGAGAGAAACATCGGTGTGAGAGAGACACATCAACTGGTTGCAACCCACACGACCCCAACCGGGGCCAGGGACAAACTGCAACCAAGGTATGTGCCCTTAGCGGGAACTGAACCCAGGACTCTCTGGTCCACAGGCTGATGCTCTAACTGCTGAGCTAAACTGGCCAGGGCGATATCCTTAACTCTTTTGCCCTACTGTCTTCAACTACCCAGGAAGTTAGTTAACCCTGGACCAGTTGAAAAATTCATTTTCTCTGTCCAAGCTGCTAATAATTAGTGTGGGAAAATACATTCTGGAGAAGAGACCCAGGATAAATATGTGATTTCCACTTCCCAGAGTGTTGTCACTGCTCCCCAGAAATCATTGTCTGTTTCCCTAGTCAGCTTGCCTACCATTTTCCACAACTGCTATTTCAACCTTCTCCATTCTGCCCAAGCCATGACCCAAGAGGAGTCAATTACCATCACAATTCATTGCCAGCTACATTCATTCCAAGATGCCCAAACTACAAAAGTGTCCTACCTCAGAACCAAAGGTGGGAGACATTTGGTTCTATTGGCATATACCTGGCCTACCTGTGTTAATGGGCATCTGCCTCGAGAGCCTGGATCAGTGATTCTCAAACTTGGCTGTGCATTGGAATCCCCTGGGGAACTTCAAGATATGGATATCTAGTGCCACCCATATAGATACTGTTGAAATTGATCTCAGATATATAGTCTGGGCAAGGTTTTTTTGTTTGTTTGTTTGTTTTGGAGAGGGGGTTGTGTGTTTTTAGCTTTCCAAGTGATTCTAACATGCAGCTAACAAATTTGAAACCCAGTAGCCTAGGTCAGTGATTCTCAAAGTGTGCTATCTGAGTGAGAAACTCAGGGGTTAGGGCTCAACAGTCTGTGTTTAGCAAGCTCTTCAGGGGTTCTGATGCACACTAAAGTTTGGGTATGAGTGGCCCAGACATCAGCTTCGTTGGATCAGCCCTTGTATGTGAGAGAGGATAAGGATAAGTTGTATCCTCCCGGCTTCTCCCCTGCCCACCACCTGCTTTTTTAGCCAATTTAGGGGCCATCTGGAGCAATGGGAATCTACTGAGGGAAGGAGACCAAGATATATGACCCACAAATACCATTTACATTTCCAGTATGAATGAGGATGTGTATGGCTGGGTAGGGACTGATGTTTCATGGTCTCCTAACAGGCTCAGGACTTTCATTGAATTTATTTTTATAAATAAATAAGTATGAGCAGTTTTGCTCCTCTTGAAAAAAATGGCAGGTAAGGCCCTGGCAGGTTTGGCTCAGCCAAAGGGTCTCAGGTTTGATTACTGGTCAAGGGCATGCATACCTGGGTTGCAAGTTTGATCCCTGGCCCCAGTCAGGATCGTGCAGGAGACAGTCAATTGATGTGTCTCTTTCACATCAATATGTGTGTGTGTGTGTGTGTGTGTGTGTGTGTGTGTCCCTCCCTCTCTCCCTTTTACTCTATCTAAAAATCAACGGGAAAAATATCCTCAGGTGAGGATTAACAACAACAAAAAGCAGATAGGAACCTTGTCTCTCCTCTTCAATTCACACAGGGATGGGCACATGAAAAATAAAAGACATACCACTCATGTTCAGCCTTATTCTCTTCTCTCTGTGGAATACATGGGAAGGAGTGCTACTAGCACTAGTTATGCTCATTTCTAATACTTAAAATCATGTCATCTCTCTAGTTAGTTTACAACTCTGTTTTGGGCCTGGTGCTGACTGTAGTTATATTTTCAGTTGTCTATGGACCACACTCCAAGCTATTACCGAACTATGAGTAACGGCACTCCATGTCATCTCAGATAGCATGTAAGTGTAAGCCATTGCTAGGATTCTGGAAGAAATGACCATAAGTACCCCCACCCCAGCGCAAACCTTCATGTCTTTCAAAACCCTTTCTCTGACAGGTGTACAGCAGGTCCTCAAATGATGTTGTTTGTTTGCTATTTTAAAAATGTTTTACTAATTTTTTTTTAGAGAGGAAGGGAGAGAGAGATAGAAACATCCATGTGAGAAAGAAATATCGACTGGCTGCCTCCTACACGCCTCCCACTAGGTATCGAGCCTGCAACCTGGGCATGTGCCCTGACTGGGAATCGAACCAGCAAACTCTTGGTGCATGGGTCGACGCTCAACCACTGAGCCACACCAGCTAGGCTAATTAATTATTTTTTTAAAAGAACAATAACAAAGTCACACCTTCCAAGTACCTCTCACATGTATTAGCCACGGTCGGTCTCTTGTCGCCTAGGCTATCCACAGCAGCTGCGGGTAACGCTTTCCCAGATGAGGAAGGCCCAAAGGATTCAGTGACCTGTCCAGATTTACTCAGGTCAGCAGTCTTTAGACCGCTCCCCAGGCTCTTTTCACTCCAACCTGGCTGCCTTCCCAAAGTCCCACTTATCACACAATCTTCCCCTACCCCTTAATGGGGCCCTGAGGTGTGTCTAGCCCGTTTGGTCACTGTTCTATCATTAATCAGCTCCAGAGCACAAATTTCAAATCTGATATTCAAAGAACCCACATTTGGCCCTGATCAGTGTGGCTCAGTTGGTTGGGCGTCATCCCAAGCACTGAAAGGTCGCTGATTCCATTTCCGGTCAGGGCACAAGCCCAGGTTTCAGGCTCAATCCCCAGTGAGGGGCGTGCAGGAGGCAGATGATTGATGTTTCTCTCTCTCTCCCTCTCCCTTCCTCTCTCTCTAAAAATCAATAAAAAATATTTTAAAAAAATATCTCATATTTGCTCTACATGTGCATAAAGTATCTCCCATCTACCAGAATAAAACCCTGCACAACAGTGGAGTTTGGGTTACCTAGCTGGCTTCCCTACTTCAAGACCTGGTTCCACAACTCAAATCCACAAAGCCTTCCCTGATTCCTCTCTTCTCACTCTGACCGCTCCTCTACTCTCTCTTCTGACTCTCGCCATTTGAGCTCATTTGACCTCCTGTAGCTTGTGTTCTCTTTCCCATCTTCCCACTGGATGATAAGAAGCCAGCCCCGCCTCAGGGACTGCACCTGGAGCACAGTGCTGACCAGAAACAGTCTGTACATGTTGACCAGAACAGTCTTCTGTAATTAGCCTGAAATTTAACAGTGACGAGAAACAGTACCTTAACCCAGAATTCTAAGAATAATGACAGTAATGTGGTGTTGGTGCGAGAGAACCGAGAGACCACCAGAGCCAAATTAAAGCCAAATAGAGAGCAAAGCCGGCCGGCGACTGATCCCCAGTTCTCGGAGATCAGCCTCGACTTTCAGCTGATTTTTTATTTTATAGGGGGTTTGTTACAAACTCCTGCAGCTGGCATTTCTCCTTGGCCTTGGGGAAGAGCAAGCAATGACAGAAGCGGAGGCAGTTAGCGATAAGCGGGAGGGAACGGAGGTGGGAGGGAGCCGAGGCGAAAGGGAACTGGGTGAACTGGTCAGCACACATCTGTCCTGCTATTCATTCTATTATCTAAGTTCTAAA